ACTTATTATTTTAGTGTCATATAATTCTGAACATATTTATTCAATTATACAATAATTTTGGACTTAAATTAACAGATTATTGTTTTTATAAATATTTCAAGTTTTGATCAAAGGAAGGATTATTTCATGGATTTAAATTTTAACCTTTAGTTTTCAGCCCATCAAAACTTTAGTCATAATTATATTTGATTAACGATATAAATTTGGTTCTATGTTCAATATATTTTGTAAACCAACAGTTTCTGAAAATGTTTTAAATTATAAACAGGTATGAAATTAAAACTAATACTTAACATTTGAAAATAGTGAAAATCAAAATTATTAAAAGTAATTACTATAAAGAAGTTAAAAATATTTTATACAATTTAATGTTTTGCATGCACGTAGTGTATGTACCAATATAATTAATTTTTCAATCACCTTAATTACATATTTTTAATGAATTTATTAATTAAAGAATAGTTTCTTAATCCTTGAATGTATATAATATGTATACATACTATGATTTATTACCTAAAATTATTATTTTAGGTAATATTTTTATGTTTATAAATTTTAAAACAGCAATTAATCTTGATTTTGTTGGAGCATTTTTCTCTAAGGCATAATTTATCCACGCTGAATAATACACTCATTAGTCATTATTAATTTTATTTACGACATTCACTAATATTCCTATACACAATATAGATATTAGGTTACAATGTTTTAAATATTATAATTATATTTTGATAAACGTTATTTAGACATAATGGTTCAGTAAAATCTGATAAGAAACTTAGTGTGGTATGATTACGTTTTAAATAGAAACTAATGAGACCTAAATATTAAATATAAAATAAGATAATTGACCGGAAGTATATTATTTTTTCTTTTTAAAGTTATCTCTTTATATTATACAAGCACTTCGTGATCTAAAATGTATTTCAATATTATGCTTATAAATTAATTGTTGGCATTGAATAATTGAAGTATTGTACTTAAAAGGTAAATCTCGACTAAATTATATCAACAATACCCGCAAGTAGTATAGTAATTAATGTGTTAAAATGCATTCACGAGATATTATTATTTATTACCAATAATAATCAGTGTAGGATCTTGAAGCCGGGAGAGGCTGGGTAAAGAATGAATGTAGAGGTCCCGCAAAATAATAAGTAGGTATCTATCTATTTATTTTGTACAAGAACACCATATAATATAATTTAAAGTTATTATTATTAGTTTTGAATAAATCGCAAGGATCCTATAAAACATAATATCAGAATACGCAATATCACACGTGGATATTGGGTACGGGCTCGATATTCCTCCTTGTCCCTAATTTCTGCACACCATTATGATATGGAGGATCTGATAGTAATAATGTAATATAATAATCTTCTTCGTTATCATGGCTTAAAGTAATGGTGAAAATGTGACATATAATATGATATATGTATTATGTATTACGATGAACGGGAAACCCCCCAAAAAAATCATTACCTATGAATATGTTATCTATTTATTTCGTATATAAGTACACCATATAATGTAATTTATTACATTTTTTTTATCAGCTTTTAAAATATCGAGGATCCCATAAAACATATGGGAATATGCAATAATACCAGTGTATATTGGTTTCGGACTAGACATATCTCCTGGGTCCTTCTGCACACCTGTAGATTTACGAGCTTTTACGCACTTGTTTACGAAATAAACTATATCCTAATATTACTTTTTGCAATTTGAATTTTGATCTAGTAACTGTGAAGTTATGCCTATAAAATATTATTATTAGTTTATTAAATTATGAATATGTTGATTATTTTCCTTGGTCTTACGTTTTAATTGATAAAGTTAAGTCACCTTCATACTTTTTTTCTAATATTGACAGTGCTTCTAAAGTTTAAACATGTTTATCGAGGAATTCAACAATGTTAATAACATCTTTGTGCTTTAAAAATTGTTTGAATATATATTATTATATTTTACAAGTGAATTTACTCATGGAATGAAAATAGAACGTCTATAATATTCCTTTAAATTTTCTGCCAGTACATTGAATCTGCATCCAAGGGCGCACCCAAGGGGGTGGCTAACGGGCTTTAGCCCCCCCCCAAATGGCTAAAAATGTTGATAATTTTATTAGGTTTATTGACAAATTGACATTTTACTTTAAATTGTTATAAAAAAAAATTATCAACTATCGAAATTGAAACATTAGGTATAACATAATATTATATTATATCATTGATTTTATAATTTTATTAAATTTATTCCTGTCATTCCGGGCCCCGGGAGAGACCTCTGTTGTCTATTATTATAGACTACGGTGACACTTAAAACCGGGACAAAAATAAAAAAAATTTGTTAGTAAAAGATTGTAAAAAAGCTTAAAGATTTCTGTACATCATATTTCAAAATAAATACTACCAATAATATTAAAATTATGTGAATTTAGCCCTCCCCAAAAAAAAATCCTGGGTGCGCCCCTGTCTGCATCTATAGCTGGCAACAGCATGTTTTTCATTGTAATAACTGAATTAGGTATGACGTTCAACCCTAAACTTTATCAGGGAGCACCTATACTAATACTATTATATTACACATATATTCTTCAAATATTCTGCCTTGAAACAATATTTAGCTGCAAAACAAAATTTAATAATAATACATCGTACAAAATCACGATTCCAGGATAAAATGTATTTTATATAAAGAACTATTAAACATAAGTACTTAGTACTACCTATATGTATATAACAATATTTTTTATAATATAATATTTATATTTCTGTTACTATAATGCCCTAAGGTATCTTCTAAAACTGTAATGGTCCGCATTCAACTATAACATAGCTAATATCAGAGATTTCGTTAACAACAATATTTATCACGTAATATGTAAGAATAGTCACGTTTGATTATGCAACGTTCAGCCTTATTATTAATCTTCGACGGTGTGCCAGCGACCAGCGTTATACCATCGACGTGGTGCGGATAATAATTATAAACACTATTATAATGTATATTGTATATCTATATAATATAGGTATAATATTACTCAATAAATCGAGCTTTTACGTATCGGTGGAGCGTGGTCATGTTATGATTTATAGGAATTATATTGGAATACAATTTATATTATTATCGTATGTTATTTAATAAATTATCGTAGTAGGTAGGTACTATACTGGTGCAAAGTATAACACAGCCGTAAAATGTCATCGCGAATACAACATGCGCATATCAGAGTGTGTTTATTTCGATACGGTTCTTCTGTTGTACTGTTCATAGGTGCAAATTTTTTTTTTTTTTTTAGTGGAGTCAAATGTAATGCTAAACATATAATAGAGGCCATTCTCTTCTAACAAAGTTTTTTGAAATCTTATCATATTTGATCATATTTTATTGATATACCTATTATTACAATTACTCAATCCTGTTCATAGGTATGAGAGGTTTATATGTATTATAGAAATTATCACTCTACAGTCTACACATCCACTCACAAATAAAACATAAATAAATTTCTATTCCAACAAAAATTAATATATTTTTATTTTTAAAAAGAAAACCTATACGGTATTTTTGAAAATTCGTTTAAAATGCATTCTGTAGAAATATTATTAAAGATATCACTTTCTATATTATTTATTTAAGGGGATTGGAAGCGGCGATTTTCTGTCTTTGTCTAACACACGTGCAACATAGGATTATAGACGTGTTCTATTTCCAACGTACCGATTAATCTAGTGAAGCGATACGAATTCTGAAAACAGATTTGAATTTGTCGTCAAGTCTACTTGAGATCGACTTACTCACATTTTTGATATTTTGATTAAAACTTCTCCAAAAATTTAAATATGACAATTTTTTAATTACTCTTTTTAATATATCATTTTTATGATTTGTGGGGGATAATATCAAAAATGTGGGAAAGTCGATCTCAAGTAGACTTAACGACAAATTCAAATCTGTTTACAGAGTTCTTATCGCTTCACTAGATTTATCGGTACGTTGGAAATAGAACACGTCTATAATCCTATGTTGCACGTGTGTTAGACAAAGACAGAAAATCGCCGCTTCCAATCCCCTTAAGTAAGATTCTATCTTGATGCACAGAAGATTTAATAGCCATATTTAATTATCTACCTCTCAGAGAACGAACTTATAGTAAAATGATCGTGTGACATAAACCTAACCCGGTACTCGATATTTTTCACTTCTAAGAAAATGTATGAATCATAATTCATTCATAAATATGCATTAATAAGTAACCATTAATTGTATACAATGTATCTAGTGGGAATTAGGTCATTTTTAAATTGTATTCGTTAGTCGTTACTACGGTGATAAACAAAGGAATATAAAAAAAATCGGTTAGAAAGATAAAATAAATCTGTGCCCAGTCCAAAAACATATTTATGTTAAAAATAAATAACTGGTGGTACCACTACGAAATAAGATAGTATTAGGTCACGATTATAAAGAATAAGTTCTTCATAATCGTGTATTAGGTGGGCCTATAGGCTATAGCCTCCTGAATTGCGCTTACGGTATTGTTGCACAGTCTTGCAGTTCGATAATATTTGTTTTTAAAACTTGTATTAAAAAGTAACATTTGATTGGACACCGATATCGCCTCTTTATTTTTTAGTCCACTGCACTACTGCTGTACGTCATATTTTGTACCTAATAATAATAATTTTAATTTTTGTTTTTCAACCAAGATTTGGTTATTGTCATGACGTTGTTGTTCTCTAAGTTCCTGCAGCACCTCCAATGACATAAAGCAATATTTTTGTACTTGTCAATATTAAGTTATTTGTATTTACCTTCGTACCGTATATAGCCACTAATTCATAATAACTTTTCGTATTTCGCCTTACCATTATCTGGGGCTCAAATAAATTTAATTTAATAACCAAGAACACCTAACTGAGGCTACTGACAAAACTGTAATCCATCGTGGTATATGATATATTTGAGACTGATGTTTAAAAATATTTTAGGGTTCTATATCCGCTTGGTGGTGGCCGGACAATTTGAAGCAGAATGGTGGGTTTACCACCGTGACCACAGACATTGGTTCTATCCTGCTGTCTGCAATGTTTGGCATGGCAGCTATGAGCGCACTGTTTGGGCCGACGGCCGTTCACCGCCTGGGCACCAGAACATGTCTGGTGGCCGGTTACCTGGTGTCCGTCGCGTTCGTCACCGTACACCTGTACCCAAAGGTGGCGGTACTGGTGCCCGGTTACTTCCTGATGGGTGCCTGGTTGGGATGCTGGACGGCGTCTCGGACCGCTGTGCTCATGGCGCTCGCATCTAAAATGGCATACGTGCTGTCCGACCGAGAGGAGTGCGAACTCGAGGGAAACGGTCGGCGAGAAGCGGTGGCCAGGAATCTAGCCAGGGGACTACAGGTGAGATTTTCATAACGACATGACCTGCACCTATTGCAAGTGTTAGGTGTCATACCAATAGTGTGCAACCTACCTATACCTACCTACCTATTTTTTACTTACACTTTGGGTGAACTACCTACAAATATACTAATGGATTTCCATAATGGTGAAAATATGGTTCAATATGGTGAAACACGACTTGTATACTATATTATATACTCGTTGGCTTAAATTTATATTTGAAGTCATTCATAAAATTGTTGAAGACTGTTAATTCTGAATGGCAGGAACTCCCTGCTGGGACTCCCTGTCTCATAATAGTGATAAACTATTAATTTTTCTATTATACAAGGACTTCACTTGTCAGTACCTATGTCATCAAAGACATTCGATTGTTTGAGTGTAAGCTATCACGGTCTATAAAACCTAAACACAGAGAACATAAGGATGTTACAATATGCTTTACACTGAAAGATTTTATTATGTCGGCATGTCACAGATTATCCAAAGTATATTGTTAATTGGTTGGGTATCGTTGTACCTAATACCTAAGGTATAATTTATTGGTACCATATTCCGTAGATGATGAAATTATAAACATGTAAATTATATCTACTTATAATAAGAACTTGGGAATTTTACTCGGATGGTATTGATATTATTAAAAAGATATAATATTCGGATGCGAGTATTGTAAAAGTATTATATAATATAAAATAATATTAATATAATAAAATATATTATGAATGACAGAAACAATCAAAATTCAAAGAGTAATAACAGTTTTTATTATAAAGTCAAAAGTCAAACTCATTTTGAAAAATGTACTACACTTACAATTTACATACATTTAAAAAACAAATATCTTATAAATTATAATTAAAATAATAATTTAATTATGATTTTTTAGAAATCAAAATTTATTTCATCGGACGCAATTTGTTCAATCATTTGGAATACTCCACAAAACGGACTATATTAGTGTTTCAATTGTATAACTTTTCCACATATATGTTTATCGTTACTTTACGACTTAAGTTTATTCGCTTATTGAATTTATAGCCCATCAGATTTCTTTTTTTTTTCAATATAGCAACCTGTCTTCTCAGTTTCTTATTGCTTTTTCATTTGATTTGATCGAACTACGCACGTCGCACAAGGTTTTATTATCTTTGTTTCACACACTTTGTGGGGCAAAATGACGTACTGCGTAGTTCCGAAAAAAAAAGATTTATTTGGATTGATATTATTGCACTCGTTGACCTGTAATCAAATCTAGATAGAAAGCCTTTTTCTATGACCTCAAGGATTTACTTTTTAATTTTATTAAAGTAATATTTTAGTTGATTATACAGCAACATTTTAATTACTTAAGCTAGGGTTGGAAAGTAATTGAGTTCGTTTAATGTACGCGTGGGACTGTGGGTAAAACGAAATAACACAGCTGTCAGTGTGAATTCTTCTTATCAAGACAATAAAATGGTTTTTCGATTAAATTGAGTTTTACTCAAACTCTTAAATTTATTTTTACTGTGAATCCCATTTTACTTTGTAATAGTAGGTATAACGTTAATACTTTTAATATAATTTACAAAATTCTAATAGATTTTCTCAAAATTAAATTTTTACTTAACTCTGTATTACTTCTATATTTTAGTTTAAAAATAATAACATTTTTAAAATTAAAACAAAATGGGGGTAACTAGGTAAACACTCTAAAAGAGTGTATAATATGTACCTCATCTTCATCGAATAATTCACTGTAATGGTGCAGGTATAATGGATGCGTTAAATTTGATTTCAATGATAAATCATTGCATACGAAAAACGATTCTGAGCAAAGACGGTGTGTCATCGGATCATCCTATTATCATTTATCATATGAAAATATAGCTATACATAATTTTAAGAGTTTAATGATCATTATGGATATAACTTATCGTTATATATTTGTAATACACGATCAGAAAATACCTACAATAACTAGTCAATATAATATTATACATTTTAAATATTATTATATTTATTAAGTCAATGATATAAATTATTACAGATTATCATTATTTCCTAACATGTGTTGTCTCTAATGATACTGCCTAGTAAATGTTGACAATAACATTCCCATATATATTATATAAAAGTGTACATCTGTGTAAGCCATTTTCTCTCAATGTAACTATTTAATTCTATAATTATTTAGTAGCCAATAAGGAAATACCATTAAACATGGTAGTACCTATACCTACCTATATATTTTAATATAAAACTCAACTTTTTGGTACCTTGCAACGTAGGTGGCACACGACATTGGCTTGATTGCCGGAAACGCGTTCGTCGCGTACATGATAAGTGGCACGCGAACGGACGATATCCTCGGAACCATGTTTGCCAGGGACGGTGGACCTGGAACAGATCGGACTTGCGGTAGCGTTGCCTGCCCTCTGGAAAATACGGTGGAAATCAAGCTCGGGCCAACCGCCAACTTCTCGTCCAATCAGACGGTCGCATTGGTCGACGTTCGCAATCACATGGTCTTGCCTTGTAAGTATAATAAAATATCTTACGGATGCGCGAGAAATCGGGGTCGAAATATTATACGTAGTGAATTATTATATATATATATAATACATATATAGTATTACAGCGAGACCATAAAATATATTATCGTAATACGACGCATAGGCGTGATTGCGGGGTAGCAAGGAGTAGCAATTTCTTCCATGCCAATTTCATTATTTTGTCCACCAATTTATTCCAGGCTTCATTACACCACATGGAATTGAATTAAAAATATTATTCAAGGTTCTTTTCCGTCCCATGATTTTACTCCAATAATGACGCCCTTAATACGGCATTGGATACGTATTTGATCAAAACTGATTTATTGAACTGAAGGACAATGTTAACAATTATTTTCCCCTCTACAAATCTCATGCTGAAATTGATTTGAAGATAAAATTAAAATCGAATGAGATCGAAGCACCCTTTAGTGTTCTTGTTCAAAAATTGGTTCCTTTGATTCCATCACCTCGAATAATAACAGATGGATTTACTACTTTACTGACCCTTAATACGTCTAGGTACAGCTGATAATAATACATATTATTTACAATAGCCGAGGTCTAAATATCTCTCCCAGTGTTCGGCTTCTGGAGATCCTAAAAATATGCTCACTGATGCAGTGACTTTTACATTACTTTTTGCGAATTTATCATCATGCTTGTGGAACTGGCTAAACAGGATATTTTAAATTATTCAGTGTGACTGAAAAAATGGTAGTGATAACGTAAATATTTCATGTGCGATTACCACTAATTTTGTCACGCAACATTTTAAAGTTCTTGTTTATGCACCACGTTTTGGATATTCGTTTTACCCTGACGATATTAATAAAATATTGTTATTTGTATGACTGCCTCAGTGATTTTATATACAGATGGAGTAGCCCGAAACGGTATAATTTATTATTATACTTATTGAATATAATATTATAATACGTTTCAGGCTTTCTAATCGTTCAAAATTTGGGTCCTAGTAGTTTTTATGACAGTCTATGTGTTTATGAAATTTAAAACCATATTGTTATAAGCTTATCAATATATTAGCAAATAATGTATGAGTTTCCTCGTATGGTACATGATTTATGGTTTTAAAGCGTATACAGTATAAAACTTTGAATATTCAAGCCTTTTTTAAATGCTCTAAAATATCCAAATTTTCATATTGCACACTTTATATAAATATAATACATAAAAATTTACTTTGGGGGAGAGGGGAGTCACATCCCTAATTTAAAAAAAAAAATCAAAATGTAATTCACTTATAACCAATAATAGTAATCAAAGTGTGTATTTAACACCAAATTTAATCATTCGGTTATCACATACATTTTAAAGTCTTACTTCACGCACAACATTTCGTACTGTACACAGAAAATGATCTTTGTTCTGCGAATATGATCTTTATATTATATACTATCATGGATCTTCCGGTTCATGAATTTGACATGTATATCTCGCAACTGTCTTTTCACGTCAACTGCATTTTGTTCTCATTCAATTTTTGTGATTCTTCTCTATACCTACTAAATGTTTTGCCATAAGTTTACCTAGATATGGTTTCTACGATTTGTTTATTTTCCGACAATGTTAACAATTCGAGGTTTTCTTTTGTGATATACTTTCGTCGATGGATAATTTTGTTTGAAACGTCACAAACTCAGATTTAAAATACACATTTATCATTGCTTTAAAATTGAATACGACAATACAACAATATTCTATGTCGAGATGAACACTCAATACCCATCTCAGCCTCTAGAAGTCTAAAGTACTGTCAAGCTGTATGCCTGTAGGCTGAAGCCCCTTGTAATTTGAGCTTCTGTTACTGAGTGGTCTCTTGTTCACGTTTTCCATGTTGTATAGTACCAAGTTTTTCTCAAAGTTTTTTTTTTATAATATGTATTTTTATTTTGACAATCAGCAGTCGGTTATACAAAGTATTACAATCAGAAGTTATGATGAGTATATATTTTTTACTACTAATTGCTAGAGGGGTATTGGTGAAGTAGGTATCCAATGATAGTACTTCGGATTCTCATCAATGTTACACATTTAATTCAAAGTTATGTTTAACAAATTGTAATGTATTTTAAATTAAAAAAAAAAAATTAGAGATTAATTAAGGAAGAAATAAAGAAAACCAATAAAGAAATGACCAATTCTAACATCAAACAAGTTAACAATTAAATGTATTCACTATACTCCGTGTTTCACTGAACACGTACCTATTTCCTTTGTCCGTCACAATGAATAATATAGCATTGTTAGGTAATAATGTAGAGTTTTCAATAAAAGCTTAGAAAAAATTAATAATAATTGTTCGATATGAGACATTTTATTTTATATTCTGTACTCTGTAGACTGTAACCTAGAGAGCCTTGATAATAATAAATAAATTAATAACTAATAATAAATAATAAGTATTAATATAATATAAAGAGAGTGGTAAACTGATAAGATAGAAGTCATGTTTCGTTCAAACTTGTCCCGCCTTTTAAATGTTTGAAATTGAATTCTTATAATATTTTAATTATATGGGTAAATATTGATATTGAAATCGTTAAATAAATGTCTTGAAAAATCGATGGAGGGTCTATCCGCGCGTCTTTTTATAATACTAATAGTAATATTACTATCAGCTGTATTTTATACACATCTATAGGTAAAACCACACAGCTGTTGGCCAGCGTCTTCGCCGGATGCTGTTTCGTCGGCGTCGCTGTCACCGCGACTTTCATGACGCGCATCCGACTTTTCGTGTACGCTTCAGCGTCCGAGAAACGAAAATCGGACAGCGCCAGGTCGTTTGCGGCCGTCCGCGATGCATTCCGCAACACCAAACTTCAGCTCATCGCTCCACTGTCGTTGTTCATCGGACTTGAACAAGGATTTATCTATTCCGATTTCTCCAAGGTAGGTTGGGTCAGGCACTCCTATAATACTATAGTTATTACTTATTAGGTAGTCATACCTATTGTACAGTGGGCACATACATATACACAATAATAATAATAATAATAACGATGTTATTGGTTGTTGGCTCACGCATTATATAACGTGTACCTACATAGTGTATTTTACTGATGGTTCACAAATTCACAATGGAGAGTAAAAGGGGTTGACGATCACTAATAATATTACAATTATATGTGTTTTCTATAGAATCTATGCGAAATTAAAAAAAAAAGGAGTAAGTTATTGAATATTTTAAATTAGCTGACAAGTACTATAATCCTCTGCAATGTATAGAAGCCAGCTGATCATTCGTTTTATAATTTCCATCAGTTATAATCATAGTCAACCCACTTGGATAAAATTTAAACTTCACTATCAGTCCATATCAAAGAGACCGACGGGATTACGGAAACTATATAAAGTATTATCTCCTTCTCCACTTATATTATTTTTATATTTTATGTCTGTCATCACTAATCACGTTTTGGATCAGACAATTTGCTTTAGTTTTCAACTTTGTTGATGGTTTATAGAAGAAAATCTAATTTATTCGTTACAATGGGTGATTATAAATATAAACATTTTAATACTTTTCTTATATTTTGGGTAAAAATCAACAAAAAATATCAGAGACACGGGAATTTTTACGTAACTCCAGTTTTTGAGGCATGATAAAATTTAAAAAATATGTTAGTTCTTTTTCAGTTAATTATAGACATTTGAGTGGAGAGCGTATTGATTTTACAATGTTGTGTGTTTTATTATTATTATTTTTTTTGTCAAGACAAATATAATTAACTAATTGTATCATCAACTTCGATGGAAGATTCTTTTGGTAATTTGGATCTAATTGGTACTTGTAGGAGGTTACTTTTGAACATTGAATATTCTTAGTATTTTTAAAAATAATCTGGAAAAACTAATATAAAAAAATAGGGGGGAATAGGTAACCTCTCTACTGAACAGTAGGAGTCGAGTGTATCATTAATTAAGCACTGTCCATTATGCGTGTTCAATTTGAATTCAATGATATATTGTTTGACTCCTACTGTACAGCAGAGCAAGTTCCCTTTTTAATGTAAATCGTTGTTATAATACCCATACATACTGTGAGTTATATAATACTAAAGTTGGTTAGGCATTGAGACTATATTAAATCTAGGTGGTAAAAGTGTAAAACACAGGAACCTCTCCAGACGTTGCCATGACTAAACTCTACACGGAGTGATGATAAAGTGCGAGGAATTGTATAGAAATTGCCGGGTTTACATCAGGTTGGTAACGCCCAGCAACCTCTCCAGATATTGCCGTGACTACACCTATTCTATACAAGTTAAACACTGAAATTCTCTAGGTATTGTCAGTACTATTTATTTATTTACAACAATAATAATCAATAGGTACATCTTTTTATAATTTAAGATGGTTTACAATATTTAAGCATATTATTATATTATAATGTCAAACTAAGAGAAAATTGTACCAATTTTTCAATATTAGTTTTAAATTACTTTATATTATATAAATATAAAAATGTTTATTTTTTTAAACATTTTAACTTAGTAGTTCGGTAATTTTCTAATCAATTTAATAACTTAACTATAGTAAATTAAAATTGTAACAAATTAGATTTCTCCTGCTGCGTTGAAAAATAATACGTTAAATTAATACTATATCTGTACAAATATACATTCGTAATTAAACAAATTGCATTAACTTATGGCTTAGCATACTTAATGTCGAGTAGGTACTTAATTAAATCAATTTAATTGTTCTAATTAACTTGGACACTTTTGGATTTTGGTCGAGCATAGTTGACGACTATAATAAAATAATATGCTTAAAGAATGCACTCCTGCCACTAAGGAATGAATCCTTTGATTGAAATCGAAACCTTTTCAAAAACTACAAAACTCTTTGAAACTTTTCTATTGTGCCTATCTATAAATGAGTAATGACACAGTGATCATGACTCATGAGTACTAATTACTAAACTCAAAACAAAAAAAGGTGGGCAAGTGGGTGTCGCTCTGCTGTACAGTAGGTTACAAGTGGGTCACTGTATAATGGATGGTATTAAATTTGAATTCAATGATATAATATCATTGTATAAGAAAAACGATTCTGAGCGGTGATGGTATGTCAGTCTATGTATAAGGCATATTATATACATATCTATGGTATTAAACAAAAAATTGACCTATAATAGGTACCTATAATAAATTCCAAATTAATCATATCACAATATCCATTAGATACTTATAACGCGTTATACATCAACAAAAACCGTGATACTATCATAGATATATAATAGTACACTTTAGAAGTTTCAAGTACCCACGAATAGTATTATTCAATCACAACAAAATAACTAAAATCGTAATTCTTGGTTTAAATATGAAATTTTGTCTAAATTTGAAATTAAAATGTCTGTAAAAAATAAGTGTGTTTATATATTTTTTAGATTTTTTGGTTACAGTATGAATTATTTAAGAGAATCTTTGTTTTAAATTTTCAACTCTTAGTTATAAAAACTGAACATTTTATAATTTTTTAATTTCAAAGATTGATAATTTTCGAGATTTTGATAAATTTTGTCAAAATTCCAACTTTAAATGCTTATAAAAAAAAATCGTGCCTATGTATTTTTAATATTTTTCAACTGATATTGTAACAATATATCAGGAGCCTTGTATTAAATTTTTACACTTTTTGGCCCAACAGATAAAACTTTATTGATATTTATAGAAAAAAAAACTAAAAAAAATTGAAAGCTGTAAATGTCCATAAACAGCTCAAAAAGAGTCAAAATATTTTCAAAATTGTATGGTGTATATGAAATGCTAATATAAACATTCAGTGAAATTTTCATGTATCTACAGTTATTCGTTTTTGAATTACAACAAAATAAGGAAATCGCTACATGAGAAATCGAGTGAAAATCCAATGTTGTAAAAATTTGAATTTCAAACGCTCATAAAAATTTAATTTGACTGTCCGGTAGAGATTTTTTTATTGATAAAGGTAGATAATCTTATAAGGAATCTTGTGTTTCATTTTCAAATCTTAGATTTAAAAAGAAAAATTTTTACGAATTCTTAACTCAAAATAATTTGCTAATTTTCGTGATTTTTCCATATTTTGTCAATTTTTGAACTTTAAATGCTTATAAAAAAAAATTGTGACTAAGGATTTTTAATATTTTTCATCTGCCTTTGAAACAACATATTAGGAGCCTTCTATTAAATTTTCAAGCTTTCGCAACGAACAAATAAAATTTTATTGATATTTCTAGAAAAAAAACTAAAAAAAAATGAAAAATGAAAATGTCCCTAAACAGTTCAAAATAAATCAAAATATTTTGAAAATGTTATCGTGTATAGAAAATGCAAATATAAACAACCAGTGAAAATTTCATGTATCTACGGTCATTTGTTTTAAAGTTACACCAATAACCAAATTCGATTTTTTGGAAAATCGATTTTGCGTAAAAATTCCCGTTTTTCCTTAATTTTTATGTTGTTTTTCCCGGCGCTTGTGAAAACTACTGGAAAATGTTTACTTTTGACCCCCCAAAGTACCAACTAGATTCACTTTCCTATCAGAAAAGGTACTATTGAAGAAAATCGAAGCACTTTTACTGTCCCAAAACGTGATGACAGACACAAAAATATAAATAAAAATATAAAAATATAAAAATATAAAAATATAAAAATATAAAAACATACATCATTGTAAAACCAATACATTCATCGCTCCGCTCAGAATCTAAAATTATACTTCCGAAATTTCTTGCTTCGAATTCAATGTTGAAATATTGTTTCAATAATTAAATAATAACAAAATACAGAATTATATAATCATATTTCCGAATTCTTGTATATTATAGGTACTAAAATAAATATTAAACATGTACAAAAATTAATTTCATTGTATTACACGTATTTTTTTTTCAAAGTTAAATGTTAAATCATAATAAACATCTATATGGAGGTAAAAAGACCCACAGTATAATCGTAATTTTATATTAAACGAAACTGAAGCTTAATAATTTCGACACCGAAAACTGTATTAACCGTCAGTTCGTTTTATTATTTCAAAGACACCAAAACTTTACGTAATAGACCCTATTATAGCGACCCGCTGCATCACCCAACCCGAGTGTAGGCTACAGAATTAATTAAAAAATATTGTTATGACGATAATATTACAGTTAACGGCGAATAAATAGGTATACGTGACACACGGTTACCGGGGTAAGTTACTGACATCGTCAGTCTCTTTAAAATATATTATATTACCTACCTAATCAAGCATGGAGCCGCGTTTCGTATGCGTCGGCATGGGGTGGATTGTGGATGGACAGTGTTCAGAAATAAGTGAATTCGAAACGTCGAAGACTTACAATAATATTCGTTATTACTGACGCACTGCGGACGGTGCAGACTTTTTTCTATTTCTATTTTCTATTGAAGATTTATGGGACAAAATGTTTGAAAATTTATTAGGTACAGGGTTCCTCATAAGTTTTCCGTAAAGGAATTAAAAACTAATAACGAAAATGCAGTCACTTTTATTTAAGAGTTCGAAGTTTTAATTTTGATGAAATCGGATATTTAAACGAAAAAACAAATTTAATTATCTATTTTGTAATAATTAAATACATTTAAATCGTTGAGACTTGAAACTTGAGGTTAGGTATAAAATAAAATATGATTTAAATTATTAATACCTTTTTTTTCTTTTTTTTCCGAGTTAATCGAGGGACGGAGGAGGAACCGCGTTAATATTACTTCTCCTCCGGAAATTAATAATTATTAATACCTCCAATAGTCAATACTCAATAATATTGTACACATAAAAATAAAAACTGAAATTTAAACAGTTATTATTATTTTATAATATTACATAGGTTAAGAAAGAAAAATATTAAATATTTCATAAGAAGAAAAATAAATTAAAGTCAGTTAAATACCACGTAGAGGAAGGTGTTGAAACACAAGAGTGTAACAAGTAATTATGAAAATAAAAACTATACTGTGATAGTGTGATAACAATATTAATTAACAAGTTATACTATTATTATTGTGAAACAATCATTAAGACATTAATTGTTATTTGTTTTAAACTATAATTTTTCATTACATCATTATTCATCATTGAACACTCTGTAAAGTAATATGTTATAATATACACACGTCGAATTACAAAAGTTGTAAAATACCATTTAAACGATGAAAAGTTAGTATGATTTCCTTGGGATATTTATTAAAGTAGAGTTTCTCAACTTTTAAATGATACACATATACCTATTACAATATACAATATGCAATATACATACTAATGTAATGTTTATACAAAAGACCAGTTTACCTATTTCACCTTCCTGTCAAAACAGTTACTTACATTCTTTAGTTTCGATAAAAATAGCTCTCTGAACTTGAGTGCGGCAGCAAAATTTTAATGCCATAGTAGTATTATATTTTGTATTTATTATGTCAGTTCAATCGGAAACCACTGAAACATAATAATACACACTTGTAGTCATAAAGGTACTATTAAACACCACCTACGTCCTACATATTATAATATATATGTTGGTTTTTTTTCAATATATTATATTACAAACAAGAATAATAATATATATAATAACAATTAATAAAGTGTATTTTTGCAATTACAGTTTTACGTCGTGTGTTCAGTGGGTGTGTCCAATGTGCCCACAGTTCTGCTGAGCTTGGGTCTGCTTCAACTGGTAGCCGGGTTTACCGTGAGTCTGATCCTGCAACACATCCGCCGGTACCACATAATAGGTACATACAAATTGCGATTACATATAATAATAATATGTAATATAGTCTATATTATACTTATCGACCTAAGCTAAAATATAATATTATAAAAATTTAAAATGTATCAAAGTGGCCGATCCTAGTTGGCTCTCTTTGATGTTATTTCGTAACGATTATTATTACCACTGGGGTTTTCCAGTGATTGGGTTGGCGTTTCATTCGTGTTTGCTAATGGTGCTGATGAAGTGGAAACCGTCGGGCGACGATGCTGCGCTACTGTACGTCATAGCAGCCGCCTGGGGCGTATGCAATGCCATTTGGAACACACTGTGTTTCAGTAAGTATTAATAACTATATAACTGATATAGGTATTATTTGTTATCTCACCAAACATCTGAACATTTTATAATTAAATTCATAGTTTTGTTATTGTCATCACTCATCAATAGTTGTTATCAACAATTCAAAACAAAGATTGAGAAATGTCATCAAAGATTTTTACAAAAATGTTACTTATATTATACATTACACTACATATTATTATACTATTAGTAGTAGGAGCTATATACTACACCATTACTCTTAATTCTAAAATTTAGTACAAAAATGTCAAAAATACTCAAATTATTGCATAATAATAATATATAATTATATTTTATTATATTAATTAGGTGCCTAGAGGCTAGAGGTAGGTACGTACTTGAGTTCCAATGACGTATTTACGAAAAGGGTAGGTAATGATTTATCGATGGGTTCAGATAAGTACTCATCATAATATAATAATCTCACTCAGTGACTTTCACTTTCTTTAGAATTGAATATTCATTATAATAATATTAAATAGTAAATAGGTACTTAGTACCAGTACCAATTAACATTTATGCTTACTTATTTCCAGGAAAATAGTATTATTTTATTTTCAATATCTAAATTAAATAATGTTAATTTTTAAAACTGTATTTGATTATATAATAATGATATAATTTGTTTACTAGGTACTACGAGGAATCTTTTTAAAGATACGACTCAGTATTAATTCTATATTGTACGCAAATTTGACACATTAAGCATCAAATCAAACATTATTATCTCCGTGACTATTATACTTATTAGAACTTATTATAGGTATCTACTACTAATTTATATCAATAAAAAAACGACTACAATTTGCAAGGAACTGAATAGAATTTTTGTGTACACTTTATTGTATTCAGAAAAACACCTGTTATTAATTATACTATTGTAATTTTACCAAATTACCTTCATTTTTAGAAATAGTAACCCAAATAATATTTTATAATATAAGTACAAAACTGTACAGTAATTAATAATAATATTATATTAATATGCATATTATAATACCGATCAGTAGCTTATACAAGGGGGTCGTGGGGGGTCAGATCCCCTCCCATTGGCTTTGGATTGGATAATCTTCCATATTGTGTTTGATGTGAATTTTGAAAAATAAAAAGTTTTGAGAGGGTGGGGATCTTCCAATTTCCCCCTCCCATTTAGCTATGTCTTTTTCTTTTTTTGATCCCCCTCTTTCAGAAATCATGTCTACACCACTGATACCGATCATTATAGTTAGGACCTTAATAAATAGACAATATTGACAGACGACAGTTTAATTAAATTATTTAATTACTTAATGTAATCCATAAAATGACACAATCTTTCAAAATTTAGTTGTAATTATTATTAATGTCAACCAGTATCGTATTGATTTAAGCTGACATGGGACCATAAAAACACATACTGAACCATCATTTTTATTTCGTTCTATAATATAATATTATATTGTATAGCCGTATATGTTTAATACAAATTTAAAACTCACACAAATAATATTTTTTTTTTTGTGAATCAATAAAAACGGATGGATAATAAATACAAGAGAGCGTGTTTATAATACCACAACTTCTAAAGTTTTGTAAATAAATCATATGATGCTGCGAGTCTATTGTAAAAATAACACTTTATGTACAATATACATTCTTTCAAGGACAAATAAATTCCTTCATGCATTTTATTTTACAAATATCTAATTCATACTAATAATATCTATATAGATAATTAACATATTATCTCATAATTCAATACATACACTGATATTAAACAGATACTTATCTGGATAGGTACTCGATTGTATAATAACGATGACCTCTCTTATAGGTACCTATATTCTAGGCCTCTACTAAGGCGTTAAAAATTATCAACTTCTTTTGTCAATAAAACTAGTTAAGTAAAACTAATATAAAATCTGGTAGGTAGCAATATACCTATGTTTCGTTGACTATAAACAAATAAAAGTAATTGGCGAAAAGTATACCAAAAAAATATCTGGCATGAGAAAAAATGATTGTTGACCAAATCGTCGGTATGCATATAAATATAAATATATAATACAATTTACAAAATATATGATACTAGTTTATGCAAATAATAATATTATAATACGAAATAAAAATAGATTTTATATGCGTGGTGCCGGTGCGACAACAATACAGACAAAAAACGTTTCTGTTTACGTCTGCAATCGACGTCAGCGCCGGAACTTGTATTGGCTTTGACCATGGCCATCGTGTTTTGTGTGTGGGTCTGAGGGGGGGACTTGGTGGGTTTTTGTTGTTGCTGGAGACAGGATTATATATGGAGTCGTTATATAGTATATTATAATATTACTTTATATACTGTGTATATATTTTACATATTGCGTACATTATAAATATTATAATAAAAAGTCACGTCAATATTCAAAAAAAAAAATGTTATTTTGCCATTTATGTGTGGTTTATCAAAACTATAACAAGTTTACATTATTTAATGTTAAAAGAGATTTCCTTTGTTAAGTTCAAGTGGAATTTAAATATCAATGAAAAAAGTCACATTGTGAAAGTTGAAAGTTCATAAATTATACCATAAAAATCTAGTCAAAAATTTTTTAAAGTACTGTGACAAATATTTTTTAACTTATATAAAAATTACTATATCATAAATATTTGTTCATCACAACACGCGATAAAAAATGTTTATTTCCTTGTGGTATCTATTTTTTTTATAACTTGTTCATTGCATTAACTGATTAAACATTTTGGGTCAAACCATATAAGACGAATTTATTTATAGGTATCTATACATTGGTTTTTTCGTATAGTTAATATTACTTCACTGATATACAGATTGATCCACTCCATTTTTCTTTAATGATTAATTTAATCAAATTCTGACTTTTGGAACTTAAAGTAAATATAATTAAGGGCAACATTTAGTTTGATTTTTATACCATTTGGAGAGCTGTGGCAATGCAGACGTTTTTAAATGATAAGCAAATATTTTACTTCAAATTATTAAGTTGGTGGTTTTATGAAGTTAGTTTTTATTCAATGAGTTTTACGTATTTAAATCCAAATTTGAATAATTAATTTAATTTCTGAGTTATTAAAATGTATAATATACTAAAGATGATAGTCCTTGAAATGGTTCTACAAAAATATAAGGTATTATTGGATCTAGTATTTATTATATAATTTTTACAAATTATAAAATTTTGATAGATTAATAATTAATAACTACAATTTAGATATTTCATATCTTCCAAACCCATTATAATATAATGACCTACAGATTTGCGGATCCATAGTACCTACATGACATTAATTAACTCGGAATTTCTCGATTGAATTTTGATTTAGACACAACAACATTTCTAAAAATGTCATAGGGTTAAACATTTATGGGAAAAGTGGGTGATTTTTATTTAAAAAAAGGAGTTGGGCTAGATTACAACACTCGTTAAATGGTATAAAAATTAAAAAATCTATATATGAAAATATGGTCTTTCAGTATAACCAACAATTTAAAGGTGAATAAACTCATTAATAATAAGGAAAAATGGGAACGAGCTTGCTTGGTGAATCCCTCCGTATATATTGTAGCTTACGTAATCAAATCATTTTAATATTTATACTAAAAATATGTTTAATGTTTAATCTACTTGAAATTATAACTTGACACCTTGATGACTGGTGATATCTATATATATGGGCTGCCATTATGTCTCCAAAATTAAATGTCAGAAGATAATGACAAAGTATTATATTATGTACCTCTATACACATGTCACATGTGAGATTCAATCCCTCTGAGATCAGTTTTGATCGAGGTTTAAATTTATGTAATACCTATCTCAATTCTCTGGAAATTATATTATATTTCTGTCTATGCATAATTACATGGTAATTAATTATTTTAATATTACTATGATCAACGATGGTGTCATAGTGATTGGTGGTAGTCTTTCGTCTAATAATTATTTGGCCTTTTCATGTACCTACCTATTATAGGTACCTACCACTTCGATAGGTAAATATAAAATAATGTTTATATTTTTTTAAATTTCTAGTAAAATACCTATGTCTTGTTACATTTACAACATTGTTAATTCACTGACAAGTCTGTGGAATAACAAAAAAAAAACTTGACGGCCAAAGTGCGAGAGAGAGCTCCTCTCCCGCAGTTTTTTTGTTGTATCACCACCTTATATCCATCACTTTTAAGAGTGCTATTGTTTATGTCGCATTATCATTTTCATTGTATACTAAATCGTATAAGTCATATAATAATATAACATTATGATTTATGTTATGAATGTCGTTTCAGACTTTGTGATATCCCTGTATCCGGACTATTGGCACGGGCCGATGGCGCACGGTTACTTCTTTCGGTACGCGGGCATGGCGCTGGCTTTCGGGCTGCACAGTGTCGTGTGCAACACCACCAAACTGTACTGCTTGTCGGCCGCGCTAGTGGTGGCCGTAGTGCTGTACGGCTGGTTGGAGTGGCGATTGCAGCTGACCGGCAAGCGGCGACGGACCGCCAACCGTTCATCATGACGACAGATCGGAGCCGCGTCCGGCAATAATTAGTGACCCGCCACCGCGCGAGTCGTCAACCAGGACTCGTGTACATTCGTCCCCACGATCCGCATGAGCGACGATCGTGTGCCACCGCCGCTGATCCTAAGAGCATTTACGCCAATCGTCGCGTCTCTGCAACAGCAGTCACCACCGCCGCCGGCGTCATCAATCGTCATCATAGCACCGCAAATACTAATATTGTTTGCGCACCGCCTGCAGCACGGTGACGTCTCGCCGAATTAAATGCGTCGTAACAAAAAAAAATACTTCAACGTTACATTATAATAATATCTACTAACAATAATTTTATCGTTATTAGCTGCAGCGGACGTCCTTTAAAACGAACTACTTACCGGCCCGCGCTGACCATTATGTATTATATTATTACCTACCTACTTTATATTATGTAACCGTACCTACTTGTTGATGTTTTTTTTTTTTTTTTTTTGTAACGGGACGTATGCATACAACATTCGTCTTGAATACGTAATAATGTGTGCGTAAAAATAATATACAGGGTGGTTTTTTTTATATTTATTTAACGCGCCACTCGTAATTTTATACAAATCAATATATTATAATTTGCATTTATTTACAGCATGACGTATACCGGCTAACACCAACAAAAGGCAAACTCGATTCGGCGAGGGATAGTAATTGAACCTCTAAAACGAATCGATTAAAATATGTTATTCATTACACATCGTTCATAAAAGCCATATTCTATTAGTAGGTATATTCTGAAACGACGAGTGGTTGTTTAAAATAAATCACACTGTATAAATACGTATGATGAATCAATATATTATAGTACAATGTTATGCGCATGAATAAAATTACGTTCATTCTTAAATACTCAATGAGCCGATAACAAACGTTTTTTTTCAAGACCACGCGGCATGCGAGTAAATGCCATTATAAATACGATTTGCAGAATTGGAAAATTTGCAATTATTCCAATGCTACTACAACTTACAAACAAATCGGACTTTGGAGTGGCACGCAAATTTACTCAATAAACAGACACCACCTCCGCCTACTAGACTTACGGAAACTCGAGCTATACTTTATCATATAATATTTCCGTAATACCCGTTATGATAATAATACCATCACGTTATGAGCCCGTGAAACCCAGAAGCCCCCCTACAATCATTGAGATATACATATTATAAAAATAATTATCATTGTTATGTAATGGTTTCATGTGTATATCTTTAAATCGCCAAAATGTAATTAATTAATACGAAACACCCAATAAAGGCGTATTGAGTTTTTAATGTATTTCAAATTCAACCCAACAATATTGGTTTTGATTCGTTACGAAAATATAATAAGTTTATTATGTGTTAGATGTGTGATTTTTTAAATTCCAAATTGCTCTATTTTAATAACCTGCATATCTATAAAAACTAAACAGTACGTATTATAAGTGACACATTTTTTTAAATGTTATTTCTATGTTCTATGTGTAGAATATAAAAACAATAACTTTAAATGCCTATCTACAAATAAAATATATTATATTACAATATATAATATGGAAATTTTGAATAAAAATTATAATAATAACTGTTTGTAATGTTTGTATGTGTTTTTATTTTTAAATTATAGTATAAAGTAATATAATATACCTTCCCATTATAGTATATTTAGTAAAACAACAAAACAACTTTTCTCTTAATAATAAATATTTAAAATGTAAACAGAAACGTTGAAAATATTTGATTTGTGTATTTTTATTTTCATTTTATGTAGGTAGATGATAATATTTCAAGAATTTCCTTGATCTCTTAAAGCAAATATTTGACTGATTATCAAATAATAATAATATTGCATATTCGCATTTTGGGTAAAACACTTCAATGTCTTCATAAAATCATAAATTCAATTACAATATTAGTTATCTATCCTAAATAACATATTGACGGTAAAAATTATAATGAAATCAAATAAAAATGTATTTATTAATTTATTTATTTCATTGTAAAGATTATAAGTTATTAAATTTCTGGTATTATTAAATATCGTTTATTATATTATCAAAAATAAAGTGTATGGTTCAAGTGTATGGCATCAAGTCTATAATTAAATAATAAAATATTCAAATGGCATAATTGGCTAAAAATTGTGGGTTTGAAAAATAATTGTTTTAGATTACGTTAGGTTATATTTCAGAAAAGAAACGGCTATTACTCGTTTACATTATATAAATAATAATTAATATTGCCTGATAATAATTTAAAATATAGGTAGGTAATGAAAATGTCTTCACTCAATCTGCAATAAGCTAACAAAACAAATAAAATAAACAAACAAATTAAATCAATTATTTGATGTTGTAGACACATTATTATTAGTGTTAATATCAGTCTCGAGTATTAATTCAAAACGTGTTTTTTTATACCCGACTATTCTCAACGGTCCACAGATTGTTCGAGAGAAAATTTTATTTACCTATAATTTAAAATTTTCAAACAACGTAGGTACTTAATGTCCTACGAGACGGGAAGCTCAAAAAGTTTGCTTATGCAGTAAAATATCAGGACCTAAAAGGTCATATGTGTACCTCCCCATAACTATGCCACAGAAAAACATAGAAAGTGTTGTAGTACTTACCCCATTAGTTACTTAATCTTTTATTAACGTATTTATTATATTTAAAGTCGATTTATGGTTGAATTTTTATTTTTAGTCAATGTTAAAATGTATGTTTGATCTATGTGTAAGAATATAGAAAAAAGTGTTGTATTTTATGTAAGTACCTACCACGAAGTTAATAAGTGAGGCACTCCTTAAAGCATACCCTAATCCCAGAGTAGGCACTGTCTTAAGAAATGCGTTGTGAATATAATTTACATTAGTAATGAAAATTAATAAAGCACCCAAATTATTTAATGTCGCTCAACAGTAATGATTGTCAGAAATTTATATTGGATATTTACGAGTAAATTTAATATTTTAAAATAGTATCACATGTCATAAAGAATATAATGTGACCTCTCGTCGCTGTTGTGTATAACGAAGAAGCCAATTACTCAAAAATATAAATAATAATTATTATATTAACTATGCTGTTGCATTTAGATGAATTATATATTATAATAACTATATTTAAATTTTAATGGATGTTAAATATATATTTATAAAATGTGAAATTATTATTTAAGACGCCACTTTGGTGCAATGTTTTGTAAATCAATATAAATTCCTGCTTTCAGTTTAATCTAAAAATAAGTTACCTATGTGAATGTCTACAACGTTGTAATTTGTGCATAGACATAAGAAGTATAGTTTTAATAAAACACGTTTTAAAATAATTTTGATTAATATGTTATTTCTTACTCAACATTTAGCTCACCTTTTGAATAAGCAAATATTTCCCATGCACCTATACAGAAGACGGATTTACAAAATTCTACTCGTGTCCACGCAAACAAAATATTCATTGATATAGTTACCTACTTCAGTGTAGACTTTGACTATAATGAAGCAATAAGTTGTATATTATTCATATAGCTTAAGCAAATAGTGTTTGAGTTTGGGGGAGGGGGGGCTAAAGCCCTACTCTAATAATATTAAATAAGCTAAAATAAATGTAGGTAATGTTTTGGGTAATTGAAATTTTTGAAGGGGCACAACCCCTAAAGCCCCTCCCCCCAATATTGGTACCTATACACACAACCATAATAATATAACAAGTATATTATTATATTTTATTAAACATTGAATACCTAATAAAAATAAGCATAAAATAGCCAATTTGTGAATCTGACTAAAAGAACAAATTTCGATTGTAAAAACATTTATCTAAGTCAAGTAATTTCTTTTTTAGAATTTTTTAAAATATCAATATTTTTTTGGTTAAATTAATTTGGAACGTAATAACTTTTTTTCAAAATAATTTTTTTGGCAATTTTCTAACATGAGTATATTTCTTTAATTATTTACTTATCATATAATTTTAACAATTTTTGTCATACGTATAAGTAGCATCAGTTTTTTTTTCGTCAGATCTTTTTGTTTCACTTGTATATTTTACATTGCTTATAATAATGTACGTTATAGTTCATTCGTATACTTCATATTGTAATATTATTAGCTTCAAATAGTAATCTCTATCTATGCTATAATAATACTATACAGATGACGGTCATCATCTTTTAAAGAGATGATCGGTTATTGGTCTAAATTTTTATTCGTACATATTTTTTTATTTGTTGGTAGAATAATTGATGTTAATATGTTATTTATTTAAGCTAATGGCCTCGAGATGTTTATTTAGCTTATGACGTAACATTAATCGTGAGCAATTTATTGTAGTAGGTAGGCTTTATCTAGACAAAACTCTATTAAAATCTGGTTACTTAAATTATTCTTGTTAGATTATTAGGTAATATAGGAATATTTTTGCATTCAAATTAAAAATAAATATAAGGTGTTGATGACATTCATGCGCATATTTCCTAGATAAAAACCACAAAAGTTTAAAAATAAATGATAGGAAATAATACAGGTTATTAAAAAAAATAAAAACAATTAACAATACACGTGAGTTATGATACATTGATACTATTATCGATTTACTAGTATAATATATGATTATTGGTATTTGCAATTGTGATTTTTTTTTGTGTCCTTATTTTTGAATATCATTATAATTTTTCAAGAATTCCTAGTTGCAGCATCTTATGTAATATAAATGAATAATTCATTAGTTAATTTATTGTTTGAGTGCCTCGGAAAAATGTGACTATTAATTGCATTAAATGGTATCAAATAGAGCCGTATATTAAGCCATTTTGTGCACAGGGAAAACATTCAAAGCGTCCCTCTTCTACACATCCATATCAGTGGGATTATTGGGGGGTAAGCTGGGTACCCCGAAACAGAAAAAATATGAGTCAGTCCATAAAGTGTATAGGTACTATAAAAAAAATAGTTTATACAATCATCACAACTAAATTTTATGTGCA